AGGAACACTGATGAAATAGCTTACCAAAAATTTAAAATATTATAAAGCAATTGAGATGATAGAATTTATCATAGGTCAGTGCAGAGGATTTCAAATTGCTGACCTGCTCTTTAAAAGGCAATGCCACTCTTCTGAGAGCAACAGTGACCCTGGTGCACAAACAGCATTCTTTCTTTGGTTCAGTCTCAGCATGTTTTGTCCACTCCTAACAAGCACTAGAGGATAGGACAAGACCAACAGCATCTCCAGTTGGGTCTGTGATGGCAATATAAAGCTCAATATCACCCTGTTGATGGTATCACACCTTTAACTAGATATTTCATATACATATGAAACAGTAAGGGGAAAGGATTGATTACCATGGCACCCCAAAAAGGAATGGCAATTGGGGAAATCTCTCCTATTAGAATTGCCCAGTACAGTAAGGATGGTACAATTAGAGAACAGTACCTCTGGATCTTCAATCCACATGGGCAACTTGGAAGGTTGCTACAGTCAATTGTAAAAGCTTCCAACATATCTGATAGACTAACCCCATTTAGTTCCCAACACAAGTCATCCACTGCAGCATGTAATGCTACCTTCATACCATTCTCAGGCATGAATCCCTACTGCTTGGGGATAATTTTATTAAGAGCATGTATTGTCTCCTATTGCCAGAATCTAAACAGACAATTAAGTGGAGCTGCTTGTTGGAACTTTGGGAAACTTTCCAAGTTTATTTGGATGAATTATTTGTGGAACTTTTTACTCCATTTTTTCTGCCTGCCTTGCTAGCTCTTGAAGAGAAAGAATTCTCTGGGCTTCCTCCATCAAACAATGCAATCTTGTTGATCTTTAGAATCTTCTGTGTGTCTGTACCTACCCTGTGGAACAGCATCCACCCAGAGATCCAGATAGCCCCAACCTTGTTAGTCTTCTTAAATCTCCTGGCTGTTTCTCTAGGCATTTGGATCTGGTAATTAGATTATGTAGTTTTTGTTTCATGGGTTACTGTTTAACTAGGGCATAATGGGTTTATACTCCTATAATGAGACAGGCAGCTTCATTAATCATATAAATAAGTACAAATATACATATCCATCCTTTGGAAAATCTTGATTCACCAGACACCTGGATAGAAACTCTTAAAAGGTTTGCCTTATAAAGGCCTTGGAAGAGCAGGTTATCCTTAACTGGATCAAACTACAATCAAATGTAATACCTCTAGTTAAGATCACCACATAATTTCTCTAAGACAAACATAGGGTCTAACATATGACTAGCAGGATGTACTAAGCCACATTGCCAAAAAGGCTGTGAACTATTTAGCTTTCTCTGACCGACCTCCATAGACCCCATCACTGGCTGGTGAGTAGGCAGCCATATAGATTGAATAAATAATAAAGAGCCCAAGACAAGTTCAAGAAGCCTGAAGAGGGATCCAAATGTATAGTAGGGCGGCTTGTACACTAGAATGATACTCCACTTGCCCCTAAAGCCCAACTTAACCTTAGAAGCAGCACCCCTGGTGACACATTTTTCTTTAAGATCAGTACCACTTGCACCTCTGACTTTAAGTCTGTGATTGCTCCAAGATCCAAAACCCTGGAAAGGCAGATCTCTAAAAGGTAATATCATTACTCTCACCCAACTAGATCATGGTAATATATGATACAGATCATTAGGATCTGTATTGGTGCCACCAGGCTGAAAATAGAGTTCAAAACCATGTTGCTGATCCCCCAACCCCTGGAAGGTCCCCCCTATCCTGTGCTTAGATAAAGGTCAGATGGAAGTTTGGCTATTGATATAAACAGTCATAATACCAACTGCAAAACTTTCCATTTGGCCTGTATCCAATCCAGTGGTTTTAAATTTAAGGAATAAGTCTGCTGTATAAGATCATAAATTCAGACAAATTTATGGGCCGATTTAAGCTTCATGGAAGAAAGTTCATTATAGTACTTGATTACAGCAACTTCAAATAATGACTCATATGTATTAATGGACCGTGGCAGATTAAATCATTTTCTGATCACCTGCTATTTTGAGATGTAATGCTTACTAATTAAGTCTATTCACATGTTCAGGTTTCAGATAGCAAATGCAGAAGTTGGGGGTCTATACATTCCTATATTACTTCATAATTTTGTCCTTTAATTCCTCCTTTTTTAAAAATCCTGCTAGGTTAGGAGTCCAGGATAATTATTATTTATATGGTTTAATTTTGCCCATTCTATCCCCCTAATATTTCCATCTGGAACTTTGGACAAGAAGAAATGGTTATGTATGTATATCAGACAAAGATATTTCCAATTGTTCCGTTCCTTCCCCAATATAATTTTTTCAGGTTGCTTTTTTTCAATGTAACTTGATTATTTTCCTGAAAAATGGATTGTTTTCACAGCAGAATAATATGGGGCTTAAGGGACTGTTTTTGATATTGATATCAATATATTTTCCAGCTTGGCATTTATGAGCTTTTTGTTTATTTATTGGCCCTGATTTGGAAATGTGTTATGGTGATTAATATCCTGTACCAGGGAGACCTGAAGTCTGTTTCTACCCAACCATATACTCACTGAGTGACTTTGTGCCAGTCACTTCCTCATAGTCCAAGGATTCTGGGGGAGACACCATTAAAGCTCCATTGTGCATCCAGAGAAAGCAGGATATAATTGCAATGAAGAAATAATCAATGTAATAATTTGCTAATGAATGTTTTTTTACATAGTTCAGCATCACGAAGAACAGGGAAACATTTTTCTCTGCGCAACCCTGTTAAAATTGTGCAACGTGGCTGAGGAATTTTGGGAGTTGAAGTCCACAAGTCATAAAAGGGCCAGGTTTGAAGACTCCTGATTTAGATCTATTTAGGACAGTGGTTCTCAACCTGTGGGTCAGGACCCCATTTGGGGTCGAACGATCATTTCACGGGGGTCGCCAAACAATGCAGTCTGCCATTTTTCCCCCTTTTCCTTAGCTGTGCTACTCCCTTTTATTCTATTGGCTTTTGAAAGCCAAGAGAATAGACTCTCTTGAATAGAGTCTAATTCTATTGGCTTTCAAAAGCCAATAGGAATTGTCCAGGCTGTCTCTGCCCTGCTGAGCCCGCCAAAAGTCCCATTCTGCAAACGGTGCTGCACCAGTTGAGTAGTCCTCGACTTACGACCAGTTGAGTAGTCCTCGACTTACAACCAGTTGGGGGGTCGCGGCATTAAAAAGGTTGAGAACCACTGATTTAGGAGGAAGTAGATTCCAGAACATTCATTCTGATATAAAATTTCAGTCTTTATCCTAAGTGGCATGATTTACAATTTCTTTTCACAAACAGTTCATGCAGCTGTTGAATCATGCAGTCAAGGAAGACTGAATATAGGACTAGCTGGCAGAATGCTTATAAGCCAACAGTGAATTCCTTATTGCAACCACAAGAATATGATATACATTGGATATATGAAACACCTGACTATAACATGGTTTGGTTTTGATTTGGCATGTTGTGTGAATCCTGACATTGTAGTATTTAAGCCATAGTTTATAGAATGTTATGTGAACCTTATCTTTGTAGTATGCAAACCATGTTTATAGCAGCCAGCAACTATAGCTTATTCTCTACCTTGTGGTTAAATTATGGCTCAGCACAATGTATGAACCTATTATTTCAAAACTGTACAGTTAGATTAGATTTCTTGTTCTTAGATCCTATTGAAATAAATGTAAAAAATGAATTATAACTTCAATCAAATTTATTTCAATGGGAACCAAGTGCTGATAATATGTGGCACCTCCAAACTATCAGACTTTCAGCTTCCCAAGTTTTCTATTTTAACTTGAAAACGTAGATTCAACTGATTACTGATATTTTAATTGTTTTGGGGAACTGAATGAGCAGAAGCATCTTTGCATGTATGTGAGTTTGTACCATTTGCAAAGACCTGACAGCCAGATTGTGTCCTGCCCTTGAGCCCAGTGACTAAGCACAAAAATCTGCTAGCAAAATCAATGCTTATTTGCATAATGTTTCCATGCTCCCTTGATTTCAACCTAAACACCCTCCTTTTTTTCTTATAAAAAATGAGTAAGTTTCTGACATTTTAGTAATTCCATTTTTTTCAGTATTATTGACATGTTGACTATTCTGCATGAAGCCTCCTTTGCATCCATACCCTTCCTCCACCACAATGAAATCCCAAGAATGGGAAACAGCTGAGCTATCCCTTCCTTCCAATGAGGGAACTGGCTGCCCTTGAAAGATAGGGCCACAACTGGGGATAGGTTCTGTAGCTATAGCTGCAGTTTGAAACAATTTTCATGAGTAAAATGTCCGTGAATAAAATGTCACTCGCAAAAATAATTCAGGCAATATCACAATCGTAATGACATATGATCAGTATATGGTCCAAATATTAGGATTATACTCCCTATCTTGAACAGCCCTCAATCCATTTTAATATTAATATTAATATTATTATCCTACAGTTAACCAAATAAAGGAATTAGTTTCATAGAGTTTGTCTCTTGTTCTGTGACTTTTTCTTTATTAGAGAACAAGGACTTCATGGGCATAAATCCAGGGCTCCGTGGAGGAGAAAGAGTAAGAGGAACGCCAAATGCCATCAGAGTTCAGTGAAGCAAGTATGAAGTAAGATGCGTTACCGCCTAAAGAGGACGGAGGCACCCCATTAAGTCCAGAGTCTAAAATTACCCAATTGCACCACCCATGAAGGAAAAAGAATAGGCGGCCGCGGCGTGCTTAAGAGCAGCCGTAAGTGAAAAGAGGCGATCGGGCCAGTACAGCTCAAGCGCTCGCTCTTCCTTGTATCCCGGCAATTCACCCAGCAGCAGGCTCAAGCCTGGGCGGAGCTTGATCGAATTTCCTCCCGCTTCGGCTCCTCCCAGAAGCCGGAGCCTGGTAAAGACAGCTCCGCCGGGGTGTTTCCTAGTTCAGCGCTCGCCACTCGCTCGCTGCTTGTCAGCCGCACCTTGGCGTTCCGCTCCTTCTCTCGCTTGGAGCTCGGAGGTCTCTTGCTTGGAGCCCGGAGGATGGTGCTGCCCAAAGAAGACCACGCCGCCAGGCTTTACCGGGCGCCGCAGGAGCTGGCGCGGGAGGCGCATGTGCCTTCCTTGGAAAAATACCACGAGCTTTACCGCCGCTCGGTGGAGGAGCCCCAGGGTGAGTGCCAGGCCGTGGTGGGCGAGGTTGGCGCGCCTTTCCCTGTCAGATTCGGGGCAAGCTTCCAGGCCGCTCACAGTTGCCTGACTTCCTGACCGTGGCAGGCGGGATGGGAGGCGAACTGTGGCTGGGGGGGGAGGGGGGGCAAGAGAAAGACGCTTGGAGCAAGAAGCCTCCGTCCCAAGGGCGCAAGACCCAGCTCCTCTCCTCTCCTCTGCTACCATGTGCTTGCATGGCTGTCCTCTTCCTGCTCCTATAGGGTCAGATTGGTGGTTGCCGGTCCTTTTGATCGGATGCAACAGAGTCCTGAAGGCAACTGCCCCGGAACTCATCCGTTAGTTGCAGGTGGGCAGTCCGGGCTGCGAAGCGGGTTTCTCAGCTCTCGTGTGTGAGCAGCAAGTGTCTCCTAGCATCTCTGCTAGAATTACTTTGCCGGGTTGTTTCAAGTAGGGGTGTGTAGGGAGGAGACAGGACTTCTCTTGTCTGGCTCCGTGTTAAGTTTCTGAAATTACAACTAGCGACATGTTAATTATTTGTCCAAAGAGAAGAAAAACAATCTATTGTTCTATAAAGTAAACACTACCTCACCAACCTGGACCATAAAAACCAACTTCCTATTATTTAACTTGTTATGCTAAAAAAAAAGCAGTTCAGAGTTAGACATGTCTAAATGTGGGTGCACTGTAATCCACAAATGTGTTTTCTTCTGGAAATTGGTTACATCAGATTATGAAATAGGACAAGCAGTTTGGAAGCTTCTATAACCTCTGGCATAGGTTTTCTGTGCACAATACTTAATACTAATCTCATCAGACTTCTCTCCCCCAGTGTATAACAATATGTAATTATGTGTCATTTGCTTCCTTATACAGTTGCTTATCTAAATGAGCTTGACTGTATTTATGTGCTAAATTCACAGAACTGATGCTAGCATTACCCTCCGGAGGGGGATAATGTAGTTAGATGATGTTGCATGTTGAAGTAACATCCAAGTGAAAGATGACAATACACTTCCAGCTGAGCAGCAGAAATGAGGGAAGAACTTCAGTCAATTTACAGTATACCATGAGTTCATACTGCGTGGATCTTGAATACTGCAATAACCATTGCCAGAATAAAGGCTTATTCACATTAGTCCTCCAGTATTTGACTCAAAACAGTGCCTATATTATATGTTGTCAGTTCTAGTCTGTCAAAGATTTGCCTGAGGTTATAGCATTCTCCTGGTTGTAGCAGGTTTTTTGGGGGTGCCTTTGGGTAAGTTTTTGACTCCTGGTTGCTGTTTGGACAAGTTCTTTCAGTTTTCTTGGCAATGTTTTTTGGAAGTGGTTTGTCATTGCTTACTTCCTATGGTTGAGAGAGAGAATGCCCAAGGTCACTCAACAGGCTTTGTGACTAAGGTAGGACTAGAACTGACAATCTCCCAGTTGCTGCCTGAAGCCTTAACCACTACACTAAACTGTCTTTTGCAGCAAGATACTAACTACAATTGGGTGCCAACTTTTTAGCAACAGGTAAGTAGAGAAACCCATCACCCAGGTTTTAACATCTAGATCAGTGTTTCTCAGCTTTGGCAAATTTTAAGATTTATGGGTTTCAATTGGAGGATTACTGTACCTCAGCAACATTGATTTATAGGACAACTCCCCCCCCCCAAGATGTTACAATATTTCTACCATATTGTCTATGAAGGCTGTGTTTGCAACAGGTGGTCCTTATTTAGTGGCTGCTTCATTCACAACGTTGATGAAAAAGTAACTTTGTGACCTAATTTTGCATTTATGACCTCTTCAGCTTTGTAAAGCAAAGGAAAGCTAAAGTAAGTTTGTAAGCATAATAGTTGCAGTTTCACTATTTTTCTTAAAAATTGAGTTGCTGGTTCTAATTAGGATTGCTAAATGAGGACTACCTGTATAATGAAGAATGCTTAGTTCAAAGTTTTATTACAGTTGTCTGATGGTGTGGAAATAAAGAACTGCTAATGTTATGACTGGAACAAACTATTTTTTAAATACAATTATATTAAAAGTTTTAAAGAGAAGATAAAACCAACAAAAATATAGAATAAAGAAAACAAAGAAAAAGACCAGAAAGAAAGGAAAACAGAAATAGAAGCAGTTTCTAATTTCCTTTGCAGCAAATACAAGTAGTCCTTGACTTAAAATCATTTGTTTGGTGACTGTTTGACGTCACTGGCATTTTAAAAAGTGACTTATGACTGTTTTTCACACTTACCACTATCCCCATGGTCACGTCATCAGAATTTGGATGCTTGGCAACTGATTCATTTTTATGATGGTTGCAGTGTCCCAGGGTCATGTGATCACCTTTTGTGACCTTCTGACAAGCAAAGTCAATGTGGAAGCCAGATTCATTTATCAATTATGATACTAAACTGCAGTGATTCACTTAACAACTAGGGCAAGAAAAGTTGTAAAATGGGGCAAAATTCACTTAACTGTCTCTTAGCAACAAATTTGGGGCTCAGTTTGGTCATAACTTGAGGACTAACTGTACAAGTATGATTACAAAATTATATCAATCTATGGTTGCGGAAGGAAGGCTCACTTTTTTCTATTATCTTTTTTTTCTAATGATCAAACCACAAATCATAAATGCTTTTTCTGTTTCATACAAAATGTCTAAATGACATAGCTATAAATGTAGATGTCAACTTTTCCCTAATCAAGGAAGTCAATTTAGCCATCTGTGCAAGTTCCGTTACCTTCACCACCATTCCTTTATTGTGGGTAATGTTGGTCTTCCCACTTTTGATCTATAATAATCTAATGGTAAATTGCCATGTATAAGAACAAAATTCTTTCTTCTTGGAATAAACTATTATTGTTTGAAGTCAAAGATGCAAATATTTCTTTTCAGTGCTGGAAAAATCAATTTCTTGAGATGCAGCCATGATAGTTTAGTGAGGGAAAAAGGACAGATAATGTAGACTTCAGTTTGTATAGTTTTGAACAAATATAAAGTTCATTGAAACTTGCAAGAGCAGCAGGTGTGTAAAGTTATTGTTCTAAGTATGAAAGTTATTTAAAGAAGAGAACACATTATTTTATTATTTTACCATAAAATATACTCTCATAATATGTAGTTCTACACCCCATTGGTACATAAGGAAGAGAGTATCATAGGCTTTTCTGCTTCCAGGAGAAGTTGCAGAATATAAATTTATTGAATTCAACACCCATTATGCAGAAGGAAATAAGTAACGTCCAGAGAGAAATAGAAGTGAAACACTCATCCAGATCTCTTAATGCATTGTACCAAAAAGAAATATGCAGAACTACTAATATACACTTCTCAACAAAGGAGAAAAAATAAGCAGTATATAAATACACTAGATAGAAAACACTCTTATTTTTCCCCTTCCAATCTCCAATTCTACCATGGTCCCCTGGACCCTTTCTCTGCCTCTGCCCCTGCTTTTTAATTTCCAAAAATGTCTTTGGGATTTATTTAAAGCCCAGTGGCATGTTTGGAAATCAAAATGATTTTAGAGACCATCATCCATCATTTTCACCATGTCAGCCTTTCAGTTGATTTGATTATAGTAATATATTTTTATAGTCAGTAACGGGCAGGGAATTTGATGAGCTTCAAGGAAAAAATAGTGTTAAGGGTCCAAAATATAATGATGTTAAAACTAAAATTAACAGAACTGAAAACAAAGCATGCAATTAGGTATTAACTGAACATGATTTTGCTGTCATGTTTATTGATATTAACCAGTCAACTTGTGCATTGCTTTGGATTTGAAAGTAAAAAGTTGCATTGGACTTAGACATAGACATAGAATTACAGAATGCAGGATTATTAGAAGCTATGGGAAAAAAGCATGGCTACTTTAAGGACTTGGCTCCCTACAATTTGAATCCAAAACACTGAAGACCTAGTACAAATTCCAGAACTAAATATATAAAATATAGCTAGTCCTCAACTTATGACCACAATATTTTTTTTATAAAAGTAACATTTAATATTGTAATAGATAAAAAGGAATTGTTTAAACATTTTTTGTAATATTTAAAATTGGGAGATAGAAGATAATTGGCTGTGATCATATAATTGGTGCATTATGAATATATACTTGAATGTAGGTTCTACTCAATATATGGACAGTATATATTTTCAGTTACAATGATATTATGTAGTTAAGTAGGAAATGGTGCTTGAATTCAAAATATTAACTTTCTGCTTTATCTTGCTTGTGAATGTACCCAGAAACATAAGATTAGTTGCTATGGAAAACAGGATGTTAGCTAGAAGGATTTTGTTTTCTTTTTGCCAAATTCTCTTATCTTGCCTCTGAATAAATGGCATGTGAATGAAATTCTATCATCATGAAAAAATCTTGCTTTTGGGTCTTTTTTTTTTTTTTTTTGGCTAAGAACGACTATTAATATAAGCTTCAGAATATAGCCAATATCTAGCAATAATGAGACCTGCCTGCTTACTCCTTAGTAAGCATTCATAAGATTGCAAGGTAGGTCTTTATTTCTCTAATAGATTAGCTCATATTGCTTGATACTGATATCAGACAGTATTTATGGATATCTTGTGTTCGAAACATTTTTTTATTTTTTTTACAGAATTTTGGGGTGATATAGCCAAAGAATTTTACTGGAGGAACCAACACACTGGACCATTCCTGCAGTACAATTTTGATGTTACCAAAGGGAAAATCTTTATTGAATGGATGAAAGGAGCTACAACCAACATTTGCTACAATGTTTTGGACAGAAATGTTTATGAGAATAAACTTGGAGACAAGATAGCATTTTATTGGTAATGTTCTGCGTCTTACTTGGTTCTAGAGAATTCCCATATAAATTTAACATTAAATTGTGGTTGTGGGATATTGGAGATGAATGGTAAAGGATGAATAAGTATTGTGTCATTAGAAACTCTCTTGTAAGGTGCATGAGTAAGTAGAGGGAATTGTCTTCCGATACTATGGATTTCTCAGTTTTCATGTTGTGTCTACAATGTAAAAATCCATTCCTCATTTAATGACTATCTAGCAACCATTCATTACTACAGTGGTAATGCAAAATTCATTTTCTAACCAAAGCATGCATTTGCAACCAAATTTCATTAAACAACAAATGGGTGTATTCTGTAAATTATTATTTTTTAAACTTTGTGATGCTGCTCTTATTTATCTTATTATTTCTGTTTAACAGACTTCAGTTTCTTAAAGCAATGTTTTATAATACTTTCAAAATTCACATTTCTTCCACCTATAGGCTAATTTTAGTCAAATGATAGAGCTTGAAAACAACAGTATATAGTCTGGCTGTGTGCAGTAGTCATAAAAGCAAATATTTTTGCATAAGAGATATTTGCTGAAAAACAAAGTTTATTATGGTCTATTAGCATATATTCCTCTTTCACTGTTATCTATATATGCAGTTTTTAATCTTTTGCATATTTATCTATTTAAACATATTGCCATCTACTTGGTTCTGCAACTCTGAGTGACAATAAATTAAAACCATAACATTAAAAACTTAACATTTTAAAAAAGTAATTGCCATGTAATTGCTTCATTTTTTCTTGTATTCAAAGATATTAATATCATTTGTTTCCTCTTTCTGATAGTTTTAGTTCCCTTTTGCTTTACTGAGCAAAAAAAGAATCAGGAAATGTGACACGAATCCTGTCAACGTTTAGTAGGACATAAGCCCAACTGATTTCACTCAGACTATATTCCTGAGTGTTTCTATTTTTTCAGCTGTAATAGTACTGGTGTTTAGTTAACATTCATTTAGCCAATTACTGTAATTAAAAGTAATTCCTAAATGGAGTACAGCAATGCAAATCAATAAAACCATATAAAGCTGCAGAAATTAAAATCATAAAACAGCAAATGAACAACAGTGATGCTATTTTTACAATACAGTAAAGTGAATTTTGCCCATTTGATTACCTTTCTTACTACAACTGATAAGTGAATCAGTGCAGTTCTTACAGTGAATCATTTGCTTGTCAAAAGGTTGCAAAAGATAATCACATGACCCCGAGACACTGCAGCCATTATAAATACATGCCGGTTGCCATGTATATATGATCATGGGGATGTTGCAATGGTTGTATCAAATTCAGTCATAAAGCAGTTTTTTCAGTGCCATTGTAACTAGACAAATGGTTGTAAGTCAAGGACTACCTGTACAATGGAGTCAATGACAAGATTGCTTACTCTTCTGGGGCCTCCTGTTTTAGAGTTCAGGTTCCTACTTATGAACTCCTTGCAGTTAACCATTTTACTATGTTATTATGGCTTAAAATAACAAATCTAGTGGTTTACATTTAATGACTGTCCATTTTTATTGGGTCCAGAAGTTAGGCATAACTCTAGTAGGATTCCAGTCCCATTGCCCTTTGAGCAGAAGCTACATAGTGGTATGCAAAATCTTCTATTAAAATATTCTTTTTCCAAAACATCCCATCTGTTTCAAGGTCAGAATCCTTCTGGTTGAGGTCAAAGTGACTGGCCAGAATCGAGTTTCCATTTCTATTTGGCAAATGTTTTGTATACTGTATCTCTTTAGCTAGAAAGATATTATAAAATTGGTTTACTGATAAAAGGCTGATGCTTCTTATTGTTTAGAGGTAAGCCAGTTTACTTTTTAAAAGCAATGTTCAGCTTTTGGCTGGTTTTTACTGTTATTTGTCTTTTAGAGAAATGTAAAAATGTAGTTAATGGCTTCAAGTTCTTATTGAACTGAGGTAAATTATATTTCTGTGAATGCAGAACATTTCCTTTTTCTTTATTCAAGATGTTAGTATACTCTTACTAAGCCAGTAATGATGAGTTGAAAATTCTCTGAACCTGAAATAAAAGATGAAAAAGAGAGCATATTGCAAGATTCAGTGTGCAAGATGGTCTGAGAAGGGTTTGAAAATAGATGTATTTTCCAAATTTACTTTGTTTCTGCCTAGAAATGGAATCAGAAAAAACATAGCTGACAGTTAATGAAGTTTCTCTCTGTTGACAACTGCCTTTTGTAACTATAAAACTATAATACACTAGACTGCTGCTAAATCTCATCAAGGGGTCTTATAAGCCCTGAATGTTGTTTGTAAAGTGGTAAGCTGAATGCACCTTGGAAGCCTACCCACAGGGCACAAGGGAGACATGTCTTCCTTCAAGCTTTCTCTTTTGCAACTTATGCACAGATATCCTAGTAATTTTTATAACATGTCCCAGGGCTTTAGCTAGGCATAAAATGTGTGTCACAACTGGTACTGCTAAACTTTAGCTGCATTGATCGGTGTTTGATAGACATCTAGATGATTATCTTCCTCCAGACTAAAGCATTTGGGACTTTTTTAGAGAAAAAAAATGACGTAATGAGGTTTGTAGAATTTATACTGTACATAGTGTAAGGATAGCCATGAGAAAGAATAATTGTCTACATTAATAGTTGATGCAAATTTGAAATCAGCACTTGGAGAACAAAGATGTCCCAACAGCACTTGGAGAGAAAAAAACTTGTCCATGTCCCATGTAAAGTATCTGTTATCCTGGATATGCCTTAGAATTGGGTTCGCGTATGGTTTGCATCATAAGAAAGTTGCAGAGAACATTGGTAATCAGTTTCTAGTTCAAATGCAAATAAAAGATCAGACAGGTGTTCAAAGGTTTGTATAAAATTTCCATCTAGGAAATGAAAGTATCAAGTATCATCCATTGTTTTAGGGAACTTTCAGGGAACCTAATGAAGCTATGAATGTTTCCCTGCTTTTTATTTATCTTACCTTTATCTTACCTTTATATTCTTTTGTTTCTTATTAAGCCATCTTTTTTTTTTTGCTGCCTGTTCTAATAATTTATTTTTGGGATTAATTTTTGTCTTAGATTTTTGCCTACCACTACAAGAGGCATCAGAGTTAGTAAAAACAATAAATGTCATTAGGGCAATGACAGACAATGTCATTAAATATTTCAGTTATTGGTAAATAAGCAGATATGGGATGAATTTGCTGTTTAAAAGTGTTCATATTACTTTTTTATGCTGCTTATTTCTGCTAGTGTTGCAAATATGTGAATTAGAAATCTTGATTTTACTATATTTATTGCTTATATAGATATAAAAATTATGTGCAGCAAAGGATAAGAACTTGCCATCATGATTTTGTAGATAGAAGCTTTTGTACTCTGAAGATTATATAAGATGATGCATTTTGTTTTAGCTTGAGGGAAATTGTCTCTGAAAAGGGATGCTATTGGAATAAAAACATTTTTTTTGTCCAACTGAAGAATAAAGCCATTCAGAGTCACTTTATAGGGGAGATGGACAGTATAAACATTCAATAAAATAAATAAATAAAAAAATATTCTATAGTCCATGAAATTGAAAGTTAGTCTGCTCACAGCTTTTGGTTTAGAAAACCATTTGGTATTCTAGCTCAGCAAAGTGACTTTATCTATTTTCTCTGATCTGGTTTTAGGGCTTGATGTTTGCTCTGCAAACATGAAAAGATTGTATATCTTTAAAGTAGAGTTTCCTTATGCTAAAGTTAGAAAATAATATGTTCTATGGTATGGTCCAGGCTCTCACTTTCTAGACCTGAGAAATTCAGAGCTATCCTCCCTAAATTGCTTTCCTGCAGGTGGGAGAAAGGGTACCGTGTCCATGAAGCAGTCTTTCTGGTAGAAGAAAAGCAGATTGAGAAAGGCCACTTCGATAAAGAGTGAGAAAGAAGCAATTGCATTTTCTTTTCATGTTCTTCCTCTATGAAAGGTAGAAACTGTCCTTTTGCCTGGACCCCTGTTCCCATGGATCTTTTGGTATATGCCTTTGGAGATAGCATTGGCGGTAGATTAAAAAGGGTTGAAGAAAGGGAATGAATATTTTATTGAGTATGCCTAATGTAGAGTCAGTCTTCTTATAATTCTCCTCCTTTATCCTGTAATCTTTCTGTTCTTTGTTGCAGTAAGCATATTTGAAACTCTATGTAAGATGGTGGTTATGTAGGATTCCTTTTTGTCAGGGGTGTCAAAGTGCCGACCTGTGGGCTGAATGTGTCATGCGGAAGCTGCGGCCACCCCAGCTCCGGCAAGGGGAAAAAAGTCACGATACGTTGCGACACGTCATGCAGCGAGTTTGATACCTCTGCTATATCAATCCCAGAATACAGACCAGGCCAGGAAATCAACTCCACCAGAAGATTTAAACTATTTTTTAAAATTAAGATTAGCTATAATATAGAATTTTGCAAATCTGACTGTGATTTATCTTCTCCCTCTCTTATACTCCTGAAAATTAGGGAAGTGGCTTTCTGAGAGATTTTTACATACCTTCTGGATGACTTGAGCTTAGGCCATGTTTTTCACCTAGTTGCTTTGATAGCAGATATTGCTTATCTGTGCTAAGGTCATCTTTACTCTCTACATATCTGGAGGATCAGAAATGGTAGAGGAACTCTTAGGAAGAATTTCCTTGTCCATGTATTGACTATTGGCAATTTTACTGGATGGTGTCATATCTGCCTGTAGTTAACAAGAGACATCATCAGGAAAATCACGTTCTTATTTTCAGAGAACAGTGAATATTGCTTTCTTAAGCTATTTTGAAATAAATTTAACCCTTAGATAACTCAAATTACTCATTTCTAAATCTGCATATGAAAGGTTTGTAGTGTGATAGTTACTAAATAGGCATCATTACTATTAACAAATAAATTGCAGGGTTTATATAGAGGGTTTTTCCTGAACTATACAATAAAAATTAATAATATATCCATTAGATAAATAATACTTTTTATTATAAAAAATTAAA